AGAGGGAGTCAAGCTATTCTCCAAAGCGCCTGAAGGCAGGACAAGAAGCAACGGGTGGAAACTAATCAAGGAGAGAAGCAACCTAGAACTAAGGAGAAACTTCCTGACAGTTAGAACAATTAACCAGTGGAACAACCTGCCTCCAGAAGCGGTGAATGCGCCAACACTGGAAGTTTTTAAGAAGAAACTGGACAGCCATTTGTCCAAAATGGTATAGGATTTCCTGCCTGAGCAGGGGGTTGGACTAGATGACCTCCAAGGTCCCTTCCAACTTTATCATCATCATCATCATCATCATCATCATCATCATCATCATCATCATCATCATTATTATTATTATTATTATTATTATTATTATTATTATTATTATTATTATTATTATCGTTGTCCCAAAGGTGCTTTTCCAAAAGGCAAGTGGACTTTCTTGATTTTTTTTCTTTGAAAACATTCCGCTTCTCATCCAAGCAAGTGGACTTGCTTGTTCGTTTGCATCCAATTTTTCTAACAGCAATATTTCTTTAAGCCAAGAGGCCACTGGGCTTTTTCCACTTTGACCAGTAGCTAGTTCAGTCCACTTTCCGGGGAAACGTATGAAATTCAGAGGCCATCCTCTTAGCAAAACCATTCCCCTTGGTCCAATCTTCAGAGTAGTCGTTTGTCAGCTTTCAGTTTGCGCGGGAAAAAGCCATTGTAACCAGGTGCATAAAAACCAAACAGAACTCAAAGGGAGATGTGTAGGAAAGGGCACGAAGTTAAACAAGCTTTAAAGTTTGTTTTAGTCTTAACTTGGTGATAGTGGAACTGTCCATGATTAGGACACGGCTGGAAAGAAAGTGACACAGGGACAAAGAAGGCAGGGAAGCAAGAAGATTAAATTCTGGATTCTGGAAGCATTGAGACTGCAATGAAATATGAGGGGGGTGGGGGGGACACCCGAAGCCCCACATTGGACAACCCCACTTTTGGGGTCACCAAAGCTACTCCCCACCACCCTTGCTGCAATTTAGTGGGAAGGTCTATAACAGGGGTCTCCAACTTTGGCGACTTTAAGACTTGTGGACTTCCAACTCCCAGAATTCCTCAGCCAGGAATTCTGGGAGTTGGAAGTTCACAAGTCTTAAAGTCGCCAAGGTTGAGGACCCCTGGTCTATAAGACCTTCACTCTTATCTATAAGTCTGTTCACTAGAAATGGTGCAGTTTTACTACTTTATCAGAAGTCAGGATTGTGCTTGGAATATGCCAAATTATTGGACTAGTTAATTGATTTGGACAATTGAGCTATATAAATTATTTAGACTGTTTGATCAATTATTTTGGATGTGTGTGTGTGTGTGTGTTTCGGTCCGAGCAACCGTGAGAGTAAGGAGGGGTGTCTAATACAGGAAGGTAAAGAAATCATATTAATGATCTGAACTAAACATAGATGCTCTTGAAAAAAAACATTTATGCAAAGTTTCATAATCCCCATGTCTACCGAAGGAGACATTTAGGGTGGAGAACAGTTACCCAACTTTAGCCATTTCCAGATGTGCACATATCAACTCCGATAGCAGGGAATTCTGGAAGTTGAAGGCTACGCAACTGGAAGTGGCCACGCCTTAGCAACAAGGCCAAGGGATTGAGTTTTGAGACTACCGATCCTGTAATCATTTGCCATTGAGCCTGTTGTTTAAGGCTGATGGGAATTAAAATCCAACAGGTCAGGAGAGTCAATGGTGGTTCTCCCACTGGTGTAGACAGTGATGGCGAACCTTTTAGAGACCGAGTGCCCAAACTGCAACCCAAAACCTACTTATGCATCGTTGGGTGCTGGGTGGGTGTGGCCCATTGGGTGGGCGTGGCTACGGTGTTAACGGCAGACTGGGTGGGACTAAAAAGTGCAATCAATCAATTCCAACTTTGCGAGATCTTTTTTTTCCCCCCGCAAGAAGTTGAAATTGATTGATTGAACCTTTTTTTTTTTGCACATGGCAGCAGAGGCCTAAATCAAAAAAGTTTTATAAAACCCAGCTGAAGGCCTAGGACTGGGGCAATGGTGCGCGTGCCCACAGAGAGGGCTCTGCGTGCCACCTGAAGCACGTGTGCCGTAGGTTCGCCACCACGGGGTGTAGATAATGCTACTAGCAAACTGGTAGCCCATTAATAAAGCTCATTGATGGGGCCTCCAGATGTTGATGAATTCCAGATGCCTGGAGGCTCATCTACAAAATGAAGTCAATGGTGGGTTGTTATCACAATCCCTGTATAATCCTAACATTTCAGGTATTTTCTTAAAAGAAAATTTCCTTTCTGAAAATAATCTCTTTACTCCATGCTGCCTTAATCCAGCACGATCATTTCGCTGGATCTTCAATGACTCTATCCAAACATAATTATTTCTAGCAATTTCATTGGGAGAATAGCATTCTCTCTCTTTTGTTTTTTTAAA